TCTTTTGCACCACACGCACCGCTGCCGTCCTGCCTGGCTGCATGGGCGGAGCACCGTAACTGTTTTTGTTTTTATTTTCATTGCATTGAGTGGGCGACCTCTCTCTCTCTCTCTCCCTGTGTGTGTGTGTTTTGCTTCATGGGAGCAATGAGAGAGTTTGTGCGCTGGTCGTCCCACGCTTCGGCTTTGTTTTTTATTGTTTTATTTGTGTTGTGGTTGAGTGCACGCATTCCGCGTGCTGTGCGTGTGTGTTGATATGAGTGATTTATGTGTGTAATATTCGCTTGCTTCTATATGCCGTTGCTATATTTGGACTCTCTTGTGGCGCACAGCTGCTCTGCAATTATAGGCGCTGACAAACACACAATCACAAGCACACACACGCCACGTCGCACACAAGTGTGCTGCCCCTGTACTGCTAGAGGAGCTCTCGGCGCGCTTTGGAATGTCGCAGCGGGCACCATTGGACTCGGCTTGTTGGCGCCTGTGGCTGCCTTTGGCGACGTTCCGATCCGCTCTGTTGGAAGTGCCGGCGTGGTCGTTGGCCGGTGGAAAGAGAGCAGCGGCGGACACGGTGACCTCTACGCAGTGAGTTCACAGTAACTTCCTTGGCCAGTGGCAGTGCGGATGGAACTGTCATAATTATCGCACCGCCGGCACGCTTGTTGTCGAGTTCCCCGAAAGGAGAGCAGTGAAAGGAGGTCCGTCCGCATGACTCTTTGCATCTCCGCCTCAGGGCTGCGCATCACAATTGGGGTTGCCGTGCGGTTATGCAACAGGGTATGATCTGCTGGGAGAGCGCGCTGTGCGATGCTCCTGCACCTGGGACTGGTGCTGTGCCGTTGGCGGATGTTGATTGGCCGGTCACACAAATATTGCGACACCACGAGGAGAGCAGACCAAACACTCCGCGTGGAGGGAGCGTTGCGGCTGGTGAGGACTCTGTGCGACGGTGATGGACGTTCTCTCGACGGCGGATTGACGGTTCGTGTATTTGATGGAGTCGGTGCGCATGCTGTGTGTATGGCCGCCTCTGTGGTCTCCTGTTACTCCGCTGCGTGGGCCGCATTCTGACGCATTACTGGTCCAAAGCCATTTTGGTTTTCTTACTCTTCTTTTTCCTTTGTTTCTCTCATCCCGCATCCAGGCTGCACTGCTGCTACTCACAAGAAACCAAGAAATGCATTTACTCAAGTCATGCGCCAGCCACGCCACGACACGCTGCTTTTCCCACTGGTGGTGTTGCTGCTGATGTGCTGCGCCAGTGGGTGTATTGCCGTTGCACCCGCCACACAATACCGCTTTGGGTTTGACGAGATGATGAGGGGGAACGGCCCGCTGTTGACTGCGGTGGTGCGTGAGGTGCCGCGCAAGGGACAAGGCGCCATGCAGGCGTACACCGTCGCCACACAGGATGACGACAGTGGCTGGGAGCCGATCCGCATTGCGGTGTCCACGGAGGATCTGGAGAGAGGCACGAACAAGAGGAAGTACTGCGAAGAGGGAGAGGATGAGTGCCACAATGCCTTGGGGCACAGGGTGTCATGCAAAGCAGAGCATTTCTGACGGAGGAAAAGAAACAATCGCACACTGGAAAGATTCTCTTCGGTGCCGTCAAACTGCACGCTGAGCGACTACTTGTGAAACCCACTGGTGGGACGATAACTTTACCGAGGGCTATGAATGGACCGTGCAGCCGCTTTACGGTTCCTACCAGGCACAAGAGTGACGGTGTGCCGAATGCAGATTTTATCATCTACGCTGCTGCTAGGCGATCGGGCACGGATAGCAGGGCTGTGTGGGCGGCCACGTGTAACACATTGACGGATCTTCGCTCCTACATTGGCGCCATGAACCTTGACCCGAAGTACATGACTGACACGGCGTGGAGTGTTCGCGTTGCCGCACACGAAATTGCGCATGCACTTGGGTTTAGCCAGGAGAGCATGAGAGAAAAGAGTCTGGTGAAGAAGCGAGAGAGAAGTGTGCGTGGGACGCACCGCAGGATGGTGGCAGGGAAGCACGTTCAGGAGAAGGCGAAAGCGCAATTTGGTTGTAAGTCTCTCGAGGGCATGGTGCTGGAGGACGAAGATGGCCCTCGGGAAAAAGCGATGCTTCACTGGAAGGGACGCCACGCGCGGGACGAGCTGATGGCTCCCGCAGTCGGTGCCGGCTACTACACGGCTCTGACGATGGCGGTTTTTGCGGATATGGGATACTACCGCGTGAATTGGAGCATGGCGGAGCCGATGAGCTGGGGCAGCCGCAGTGGCTGCGACTTCCTGGAGAAGAAGTGCAATACAACCGATAATCTTGCCGCCAAGTATCCTCACATGTTTTGCGACGCTAAAGACACAGAGACGCTTCGCTGCACCTCCGACCGCCGTCACGTTGGGACGTGCACCGCAAGCATCGTTGAGGACAAGGGGAGTCTGGTGGATAAGGACGTTTGCCCTGTCGTATCTTCCGAATTTCACGAAATATCGTCTGGGACAACGTACAGGACGTGCTCGGACGAAAATGTGGATTATCTCCGTGGGTCGCTGACTGGCGGCGGCTCGTGGTGCCTGGACGCGGAATTACTGGAGACGAAGGACGGTGATGGCCATGAAAGCGTCAAGGGAGTGTGCGCGCAGGTGTCGTGTGAGGAGGGCACAGTGAGGGTGAGGCACCTCGGCAGCAGTAGGGTTCAGCCTTGCCCTGAGGACACTGACATCCCAGTGACGTTGAAATATTTTTAGAAAGGTGGGAGGATCAAGTGCCCCACGTACGGCGAGGTGTGCACCATTGCCGCGAACGGCAGCAGTCTTGTCATTCCGAGTGCGTTGGTGAGTGGACAGGGTGACGAGCAATAGGAGGAAGCAGAAGAGTCTGCGGTTGCTTCAGGGTCGCCTTCTCCGGAGGATACTCGTCCACAGTTGTCTCCTGTGGCGTCTGGTGCCTCCATTGAGAAGGAGCCTCCCGGTGCTTCGGCTGCGAGTGTCGCTGGTGGTGGCCTTCATGCCGGTCCGAGGGGTGATCCGGGGGTGCGGACCGAAAGTGGGGACAACACTCAGCGGCGAGGGAGGAGACCTGGCAGTGGAAGCGAGGGAGCCAACAGAGCCTCTGGCCCCGACGCTTTTTTTTTGCGCCATCACCCGGCGAGGACGTTGCACGAGCGGAGGGCGACCCGCGGGCGGATTGCCCAGCGGTGATTCCCAGTGCGTCCGCGCCTGCCACTCCGATTCCGTCCGTCAACAGCGACGATTTTCAGACGATACCCGATGCGTTGGTACAGCAGGCCGACAGTGATGGCGGTGTGGCTGCTGCTACTGCTGGCCTCATTCCCTTTGTGCTTCTTGTTGTGGTCGCTGCGGCGGTAGTGGTGGTGCCTCTTTGAGCAGCCGCGGCGGCTGGGCGCAATCAAACTGCGGCAGGGCGACAGTATTTACTTTGCACATTGGCCCCGCACTCAAGATGTGCAAAGCCGTAGCAATAACACTATAATACACTCACTGCATTCCCGTGTCCTTCTTTGCTTGCGGGTGATGGGCAAAATGATAGGCCTTTTATTGCCTTGTTTGTTATTCTGGGAAAAGGTGTTTTTGTTGCTTAGAGGGTCTAACTTCCGTGAAAACTGTGTGTGAACGAAGTAACATGGAGAGAAAAGACAGTTCCCAGCACCACATGTATACACGCGTTTTTTGTTGCGGTTGGGACGAGGGGAAATCACCGTACTTTAATCATGAGCAAAAAGTAAAGGAAATGTGCTCCAATGGATGCGGGGTCGTGCCAGTAGCTGTTTCTCTGAAGGACAGGGACGACTGCCTCTGCCTCCGTAATTGGTGCATGCGGCTTTATCTTTTACAATTTTGTTTGTTTTTGTGACTTTGCTTTTTTTGTGCGTCATTGCGAGAATGTGGACCTCAAATAATTTCTGTGCTTCGGCTTTTAATCTGTATGCGCCCTTTTTATTTTTCTGCCTTCCCAATTTTTTGCATCCGTTTTTGATTGGCTGTGTGTGTTTCGGGTGCTCTGCTGCACTGTGGGTAGTGTGTCTTAATTCCTTCTGTCCCTGCTGTTCTGATTGTGAAAAGACGCTGTGGGTCAGGGTGCATGGCTCCGTGGTTGCGGCACTATTTGTTGTGATTGCATTGGGGCAGCCCCGACAAGACTGCCAACGTGTGGCTCTTGGGTGTCTCGTTGGGCTCTTTTCCGTCTCCTGCGCGATGGACTCCCGTCGTCGGCGCACCCTTTCGTGCAGTGGCGTCAGCGCAACAAGGTGGCAGTTTTGTTGTTGCTGCTTCAGCTGTTTTGTGTTTCCCTCTGGTATTGTGAGGTGCAGGTGTCGGATGTGGCGGCAATGAGCCGAAGATAAGGAAGGAGGAGGATGGTGCGTGCGTGCGGGAGGACCCTGCGGTGTTGGAGCGGTGCGCACTGTTTGCGGGCTTGATGCGTCCCTTTGGTGCATGGCGTGTCTTGGTGTGTCCTTCTTGCCGTCTGTGGTGCCAGCCGGCTCTTCACGATTGTGGCAATGGCGTGTTGACAGCTGTGTTTGGGTTGGCGTTGGCTGTTCCACCCTCTGGGGCTACGAGGGCGGATGTGTCACAATGAGCGACAACAATCGCGCACGACGTCTGGTCTGCAGGCAAGTGACGCACCGACTGCCGACGTGGCGCGGCCCTCTTGTTTTTTTCGTCCCTCTGGTAGACTACAGTCTGATGTCTAGCCGTAGTGGTCTCCTCTTTTCTCGCTCCTTTTGTGTGTGACCGCATGCACTGACCACAACAATTGTACAACACAAGTATTACAGAGTGCAGGTTTGTGTGTGTGCCTGCTGCCGTGGATTGGAGTGTGTGTCGTGCGTGGTGTGCGGCGTACGGTGCATGCCTGGCTGCTGCCCTCTCCTCATGTGGTGTGCCCTCTGTGTGTGTGTCTGCCGCACCTCTCGTCTCCCCTGTTGCTCTCCATGTCCCTCACTGTGCAGATCAGCTCCACACCACTGAACGACCACACTCACGATGATGACGTGCCGTCTGCTGTGCGCCCTGTTGGTGCTCGCCCTGTGCTGCTGCCCGTTCCTGTGTGCGCAAGAGGCTCCGACGGATTCCTCTACGACGACGACGAATACTAATACAAAGACACCAAATGGAACAGAATTACAAGTCTCCGATCCGTCAGGGAAGCCAAGTAAGGAACCCGCTGTGGAACAAGAAAAATCACCGGTTATCGGTCATTCGGGGTCGTCAGGTTCGGGGTCCGGTGGCGGCCCTGGAATTGTTGATGAAGATGGAAAAAGTTTCACCGGCACGTTAAGGCAATCAGTTGACACGACCGAAAAGCTACAGAGTGAAGGTAATAACGGCATGACAGGATTACAAAGTAGCACGAAACCATCCGCAGAACAAGAAAAAAAGAAGGCTGAAGATGCTTCTGAGACGACGGCAAAGATTACCACAATGGCATCAACCACGACCACAACGACAACGACGACAACCACAACTACAACACAGGCACCAAGTACTACGACTACAAAGGCGCCAACCACGACGACCACCACCCGCGCACCGTCACGTCTTCGCGAAATCGACGGCAGCCTCAGCAGCTCTGCGTGGGTGTGTGCCCCGCTGCTGCTCGCCGTATCCGCGCTGGCGTACACCACTCTGGGCTGAAGAGGTGTATGCGGGCTGTGCGTGCCAGCACTCAACCGCGGGGATTTGTGCGCGTCTACTGTGGTCTGATGTAAATAAATAGGGGAAAATAATGATTGTGTGTTTTGCTTCATTTGCTTCCTCTGCCCTGCTGTGTGCTCCGCGTTGTGCCCGACATCCGTCACGTTGAACGCATACCAGACACACTCATATGCACCACAACTGTTTGCGTGGACCCACTGTTGGGTGCTGGTTCATGCACGCTGGAGCCATTTTGTGCATCTTTTTTTTGTTTTGTGTGTTTTTACTTTTTAAACTTACTTTCTTTTTTTTTTTTTTGCTGTTGTTTTGTTGTTACTTGTTTTTTGTGTTGATTTTCCTTGTTTTTTACTTCCTTCGGGGCGTTGTGAGTTTTTTTTCATTTTTTAATTGTTTATTTTCTTTAATTTTTTCTTTTTCTTTTGTTTACTAATCTTTTGCTCCACCATCTCTTTTTTTTTTTGCTTTTGGGGGGCAATCACTATGGACGGTTTTTCTTTTCTACTCTTCCCTCTTTTAATTGTTTCTTCTGCACTCTTCCGGTGAGGGGTGCCGTGTGTTTCCCGCCCAACTGCTCCACTCGCACACCCACCGACACGCTCATGACGACGGCCCTGTGCGCCTCGCCTGCTGCACGCATGAGGAGGGGCCGCGACGGACGGCGCGCTGAGGGAGCCGTGACGTGTGGGCGTGCGACGAGGGCCTGTGGGGCGGAGCACACATTTCTTTCCCTCTTGTTTTGTTTTCTTTGCGGCCAGGGCGGGCAGACACCCGCAGCGCCACACACACACAGCCACACCCTGCCGCCGTGTTGTTTTCTTTTTTTTTTTGTTCTTCTTTTTTTTTTTGTGGATGGGTGTGTGCTGCCACCGTGCGTGATTGTTGAGGTTTGGGCCGCACCGCATGTACCGCTGCCATCCAGCTGTGCCTCTTGCCGTCCTGATGTGCCTCCCTGTGCTTCTTCTTTTTTCAGCTTCTCTAGCAGACACCCACACACATAAGTAGTTGCAAAATGCTCCGCAGGAATGTTCTTGGTAACGAGGGACGTTGGCTGACGTTCCGTGCTGAAATGATGACGCGGCTGCACGATGGCCTTCTCCGGCGATGACAGTCGCTGTGTTCTCGGCACACACATCCACACACTCTTCCTTGTCTCTCTGTGGGGGTGAGTGCGGCAGGAGCGTGTTCTACGGCAGCGGCAGCTGGTGTCTTGGAGAGGGACGAGGCGCCGAGGAACAAGAGGGCGAACCTGCTGGACGCGATTACGATGGCGGATGAAAGCTGTTTCGTTGCCTTTGCTTCGTACATTGCTAAGAATGCGCGGTGTCGCTGCCTGACGGGATGCCTGCACTCGGCACCCTTCGAGGCATTGTGTTGTTTCATTCAGTGTGATGTCACAATTATCATGGCAGCACCTCCCTCAACGGCTCTGAGTGTGGCAATACGAATGACGGCAAAGAGAGCGATGAGGATTATGGGTGAGGACTTGCACCGAGGGGCGGATTAATTGCGTGTCTCGGCACACGAATCCCAGGAGGGTTTGAATGCCGTCCCCACAATTCCCGGCCTTGCGGAACCGTTGGCTTTTGCGTTGTCACCCACCGCAATTAGTGCCCCATGCGTTGAGGCTGATCCATTTACCGTGGAGTTCACGCAGAAGCTCTCGAGTGGCTGTGCTGCTGGTCCTGCGTTGGCTCTTTCGCATGTATCTCAGCGTTGCCTGGCGTGTGATTTGATGTCTGTGTTGTCCAGGCCGCCGCCTCCAGTTTTCTTTTTGTGCCCAATAGGAAACACTTTCCGTTGCGGTGGATATTTATTTGCGTGGCCGTCGATGCACGTGACGATGCTCAACGGGTGTGTCTTTTGTTTGGCGGGCACGAGGGAGACTTCGGTGTGTGCCGACGCCTCCGCGAAAGTCTTCGTTGACGGATCGAGGCGAAAATAAGGGAGGTCTGTCCGCTGCATCTCTCAATGCAGCTGCGGGGCACTCCGGACGCACAGAGTGAATGGATGGATGCCGCGCAGCTGGGGAGACCAGTTTTCTTCTCCGCCCTCCGTTGCCGGGGGAATCGAGAATCCACAGCGTCACTGCCACCTGCATTTTACTGCTGGGGATCGACTGTTCTGAAGTTGCCCGTCTAATGTGAATCGCAGCGTCAGTGCAAAAAGACGCTTTCACGCATTGCGAGTAGTTGCTCCAGGCTTGAGCTCATCAATCTTTACGGCAGGGAGCAATGCATCTTGGTGGCCGGTGACGTTCAGACGAGTTTGTTTCACTTCACCCGCCTCGTATTTGTGGGGGACACTGCGCATCGATTCTCCCCAACAGTCCCACCACCTTCACTTTCCCCCGCCAACCGCTGCCATCTGCTGACGGTACAGTTGTTTGGCTCCGCCAATAATGCGCTTTTGAAACTTCCTCTCCGCACTCTGCAGGATTATTGCCGTGGAGGAGTTGATGGCATATGGTGCGGGTGTGGCGTCGACAGAGTCATCCACGCATTGTCTTAGAAACATGAATTTGAGTTGTGTCAGTCACGCCGTGTTTTCCTTTTCTTGCTGGGAGTCTTGTGGGTGTGTTTGAGCCCTTTTAGGAGCCTGTGTAGAGAATGGTCGCGGGAGAGCTGGCTGCCTTAATGAATGTATATATATGTATATACACCCTGATAGAACGAATATACACTTCTTTACGACACTTTTCTACCGTATGAGTTTTGGGAAGGCCACGACTTTAAAGAGCCGACAGCGGCCGGATAATTTTTATTTTTATTTTAACCATCGCACCCACCCCCTTTTGGTTCCCACCACGCGGCGGTGTCTTGTGGCTGCAGGACCCCAAAAGTCTGCCACGTCGCAAGTAATAAATAAATATATGTATCCTATCCGAATAGAGTGGGCGGGCCACGATTGTGGCTAACGGATGGTATGTATATATAAACATGCATTTATTTGCCTCGTGTTGAACTTTGAGGATGCGGTGAACCCACTCTTATTCCGTTGATCCCTCACTTATTTCTATCTTGTATGGTTTCTATTATTGAGAAACTCAGGATTCGGCCAGCGGCCCAGAAGATTATTTTTTATTGTAACACTTTACCAGCGAAGAGCAGGAACAACACAAACCGAATTGTTGGCTGCACCAACACAAGAAACATTCACAAGAGGAAAATAAATAATAATTGTGCACCCTGCAGAAATCCCCAACACACGACCCAGGCATGAGGGTTTGCCCTCCGCAAAAACAAAACAACGCATGCAGACATCTGCCAACATCCAAACAGAAACACAAATAAATGGTTGCTTGCTTTATGCCATTCCCTGCGCTTATTTTTGCGTGTGCGGCTGCTGCTGCGATGGTTGCCGGGCCTGCATGAAGTGGTGTGCGCTGAATATGAACGAAGGCCGAAGGCAACTGAATTATTTTTGTGATGAATATTGGCTGCACTTCCCGTGGACCAACAATTCACGTGGTGTGCGGGGATCTCTCCTTTTTAATTGTTACTTTGCTTTTGTGTCGCTGTGGGCGCTGCACCTCCTCTTGTGTGTGTGCGTACCCTCCGTGAGGGGTGCAGACACGACGGACCGCTCTCGCCGTGTGTGCATGCGGTGGAGCCTTGTGTGCCGCTCCTGTTTGCTTCTCCCTCTTCCATCTGTGTGTTGTTGTTGCGGCAGGGCTGTGTGTGTGTGTGCCTGCTGCCGTGGATTGGAGTGTGTGTCGTGCGTGGTGTGCGGCGTACGGTGCATGCCTGGCTGCTGCCCTCTCCTCATGTGGTGTGCCCTCTGTGTGTGTCTGCCGCACCTCTCGTCTCCCCTGTTGCTCTCCATGTCCCTCACTGTGCAGATCAGCTCCACACCACTGAACGACCACACTCACGATGATGACGCGCCGTCTGCTGTGCGCCCTGTTGGTGCTCGCCCTGTGCTGCTGCCCGTCCGTGTGCACGGCAGAAACTCGGGCGGATGTTAATCAAGATAAAGATTCTTCCCAGACCACCACGACGACGTCTACGACGAAGACAGCGGATAACAAAAAGGTTATTGTTCAACCTGATGGAAAAGGTTTTAGTTCATCTTCCTCCGCTGCAGAGGGACTACAAGGGAAGGATCAGTCAGGGTCATCAGTTTTGGGCCCCGTTGAGGACGAGGGAACGAAAGCCGGAGACGGTCCAGCTGCGGCCACTCCGGAAAAGCAATCAAACGACCCGAACAATGTGGTACATACCGAAGGTAAGAAAAGCACGACAGGGTCACAAACTGGTACGAGCAGTTCCACGGAAAAGGAAGATAATAAAGCCGAAGATGCTCCCACGACGACGATGACCACCACAACCAATACAACAACGACGACGACCACTGCGCCAGTGGCACCAAGTACTACGACTACAGAGGCGCCAACTACAACGACCACCCGCGCACCGTCACGTCTTCGTGAAATCGACGGCAGCCTCAGCAGCTCTGCGTGTGTGTGTGCCCCGCTGCTGCTTGCCGTATCCGCGCTGGCGTACACCACTCTGGGCTGAAGAGGTGTATGCGGGCTGTGCGTGCCAGCACTCAAAGCCACTGGGATTTGTGTGCGTCTACTGTGGTCCGATGTAAATAAATAAGAGAAAATAAGTAATGATTGTGTTTTGCTTCAATTGCTTCCTCTGCCCTGCTTTGTGCTCCATTTTGCCCCCCTGTATCCGTCATGTTGAACGCATACCAGACACACTCATATGCTCAACATGCACACTACTGTTTGCGTGGACGCATGTTTGCATGTGGATGCATGCACACTGGCGCCATACTGTGCAGCTCCTTTTTTTTTAAATTTTTTGTTGCTTTTTTACTTGTGTTTTTAATTGTTTTTTTTTTTTTTTTATTGCTGATTAATTACTGCAGGGCTGTGTATGTGCTTTTTTTGCCCTTTCACTGATTCCAACTGCCTCATGGTGTGTTTGTTGCTGCTGGTGGGCCGCTATTTGTGACTGTGGCGTGACTGT